CTATTACAGCCAAAAATATCAAACAGACTGGAAAAGCATTTGGACAAGGAGGAAACATTAAACCAGGTCTTTGTAGCATCTGCTAAATAGAGAGACTCATCATATTTCGGGCCGTTTGTATTTAATTGTCCTTTCATCTGAAGAGCAGTGGATGTGAATGCGCATCAGGCGGCAGATGAGTCAGATGTTCTGAAGAGGTCCAATCAAGGACGCCCCGCAACACAAGAGCACTGCATGCATAATGTCTCACACAGCCTCTTCTCAGTGCCTTGGCCCATGGTGGATATGCACCAAAGCACTGAGAAGAAAATAGTAAATAGACCTGCAGTCACAACATGCAAAAACTTTAAACACATTTAACACCAGGAACCTCCACACACTCTTAAAACTGCCAAAAAAACCATACTCAGATTAGTGGATAATTAGCTAAAACTCAGGCTTTTGTTCTTCTTTTGTTTCAGAATAAAGAAAAAAGTGCTCATATTTTTCAAGGTCGGTGTTTTCAAATGAGTTTCTCAGATGAAGTCAAACTCACAATGGAATAGGTCACTGACAATACTTCAAAAATCAGGTTTTGAAGCGGCAGACACAGACACTATAACAATTTCGGTTCAAAGAAAGGAGAATCCCTGGTCTTTGGTGAAGAAAATAGGTAAGCCATGGGCACAGAGACAAGGAGCAACACAGGAGGTTAAATTTCCTGCACTGTCCTTGAGGTAAACTAGTGCGTCTTTCATCCTGTCCTCTAATCCTTAGATTAGTTTCTCCACTTTGGCTTTAACAATATTAACTGAAGTGCAGAAGCAATCAGCAGACCAGAGCTTTGCCAAAAATTCAGTTGAATCATTAGAAGTGATTTATAAAAACAGACCATGGATAAAAATCTTTAGTTGTAATCCTCAACTGTTAAACTGTCTCTCCGCATTAAACACAAAAATTGGAATTGCTGATTCAAGGTAAGCATGAAAAAGAACTAATTTCTCTATATACGTCATTTAATTCAGCTCTCAAATCAAACCCTGTCTCCATATGACAAGAAATGGAAAAAGGGATAACTTTTGTGTTAACAAAAACCAGCTCACTCTACATAGTCTACATACTGCAATTTAATGCATTTTCAAGTATAAATTCTTGCTTTGGCACTATTTTGTAATCTTGAAGTGAAACAATTTAGGCTCTTACTATCTGTTTTTTTAATTTTCTCATCAACACAGCTCCTCCTAGGGTAAAAATTATGCTCTTAAATCATCTTCATGCTGTTATCTCTGCAAAGAATGATGTCTGCTCCAGAACACTGCCATCGCTAATCACTCAAATCAGGTCTCTCACAGGTCTGTAAGGAGGAACAGTGCTGAGGGCAGCAGAATAAAGATGAGATTGTTGTTTCTCTTTCTTTTCAAGGAATGTACCTGAACGCATCCTTCACTTTCATGGATCACTCGTCCTGCCAAGCTCAAGTTCCCCTGTGCAAAAGCTACAACTACCTTAGCTTTGTATTGTTCGAGAAATGACAGAACTACGTTCTTGAGACACTGCACAATGCACAGATGAAAAACAGTGTGAAACAGTTGTCTACGGATAACTAATGACAAAAAGTAGGGACACCCATATCAAAATGAGTAAGAAAGCTGTCTGAGACCCAGTGGAGTCAACAATGACTAAACAAATTATTCATTAGTGCAGCATCATGGGCTCTGAAGCTCCAGTTCACCTCTGAGAGTGCACACATCCACAGAACACTGATGATGGGAAAGAGAAGAGGCCAACTCTTCTAACCAGTCTCGCCATGGGAGACTACCAGGAGGCAGAGATGCAGTACCGACAGTGCAGCTGAAGCTGTCAACCTGTACTTTTGTACCCTGTGAATTTTGACAGCCAGCTACCCCACAGGGAAATGCACACCTTTCGACTGGTTGTCTGCCCAGATGGAACCTGCACATTGCCTGACAATAGGTCAATTGCCATATCACAGAATCATAGAATGGGTAAGATCAGGGGACCACAGCAGGTCATCTAGTCCAACCTCCCTGCCCAAGCAGAGTCATCCTTGAGCACATTGCACAGGACTGTGTCAAGCAGCTTCTGGAATATCTCCAGTGAGGGAGACTCCACAACCTCTCTGGCCAATCTGTTCCAGTGCACAGTTATCTGCACAGCAAAGAAGTTCTTCCTCATATTCAGGTGAAACTTCCTGTGCATCGGTTTTTGCCTGTTGCCTCTTGTCCTATTGCTTGGCACCACTGAGCAGAGCCTGGCTCCATCCTCCTGACATTCTCCCTTCAGATACTTACAGACATCAATAAGGTCCCCTCTCAGACGTCTCTTCTTGAGAACAGGTCCAGTTCCCCCCCTCTCCTTGTAAGAGAGATGCTCCAGTCCCCTCACCATCTTTGTCACCCTCCACTGGACCCACTCCAGGAGCTCCATGTCTCTCTTGTCCTGAGGAGCCCAGAATTGGTCAAAGTACTCCAGATGCAGCCTCACTAGGCCTCAGTACAGGGGTAGGATCACCTCCCTTGATCCGCTGGCAATGCTCTTCCTAATGAAACTCATACGCTGCCTCTCAGACTCTAAAAGGACAAGAAAATGGTTTGCATGCAGTCTAAGTTGCATGTGATGTCAGACTACAGCAAACAACTTGAGTCAGGTTTTCTTTCTGATCATCTTTATGCTTGAGGATAAATTATTCTGTAATCAAATTAGCCACATGAAAAGAAAACCTCCAAAGCCACTCAAGGATGTTATAAGGTAAAGAAATATTCATTATATGCTTATACAGTCTGAGCTAAAGCTGTAGCATTATTATTTATAGGTTGGAGAAAGGCCATTGGCTAAACCATTACAAAGACCTTCGCAGAATGGTTTGAGATGGAAGTGACCTTTAAAGGTCATACAGTCCAAACCTCCTACAATAAGCAGGGACATCTTCAACTAGATCAGGCTGCTCAGGGCCCTATCCAATCTGACCTTGAATGTTTCCAGGGATGGGGCATCCTCCACCTCCCCGGAGTAACCTCTTTCACCACCCTCAACATAAAAAATTTTTTCCTTTTATCTACCCTCTTTTAGTTTAAAACTATTATCCCTTGTCCTGTGGCTACAGGCCCTACTAAAAAGTCTGTCCCCATCTTTCTTAAAAGCCCCCTTTAGGTATGGAAGATGCTATAAGGTCACCCCAGAGCCTTCTCTTCTCCAGGACGAATCACCCCAACTCTCACAGCCTGTCTTCATAAGAGAGGTGCTCCAGCTGTTTGATCATCTCTGTGACCCTCCTCTGGACTCATTCCAGTAGGTCCACCTCTTTCTTATGCTGAGGGTCCCAGAGCTGGATGCAGCACTCCAGATGGGGTCTCACAAGAGCCGAGCAGAGGGGCAGAATCACCTCCCTTGACCTGCTGGCCACACTGCTTGTGATGCAGCCCAAGATGCTGTTGGCTTTCTGGGCTGAAAGTGCATATGGCCGGTGACTGCCAAGCTTCTCATCCACCGACATCCCCAAGTCCATCTCCTCAGGGCTGCTCTCAATCCATGCTCCACCCAGCCTGTGCTTGCGCTTGGATTGCCCCAAACCACGTGCAGGACCTTGCACTTGGCCTTGTTGAACTTCATGAGGTTCACATGGGCCCACTTCTCCAGGCTGTCAAGGTCCCTCTGACGGTATCCCTTCCTTGCAGCATGTTGGCCACACCATACATGGTATTGTTGGCAAGCTTGCTGAGAGGGCACTTGATCATACTGTCCCTGTCACCGGCAAACAGTGCTGGTCCCAATACCAACCTCTAGGGAACACCATTCCTCACTGGTCTCCAGTCTGACATCAAGCCATTGACATCACTTCTTTGACTGTAAAGATCCAGCCAATTCCTTATCTACTAAGTGGTCCATCAAATCCATGTCTCTCCAGTTTATACACAGAATGTTGAGTGAGACAGTGTCAAATGCTTTGCACAAGTCCAGGCAGATGATGTCTGGATATTGGCTTATCCAATTCCTCTGCCAGTTCCGTCAGGACCCACAGATGTATCACACCAGATCCCATGGACTTGTGCACTGTCAGGTTCCTTAAACGGTCTCGAACCTGGTCTTCTCCTATAGCAGGCAATGCTTCATTTTCCCTATCCCTGCCTTCGCCTTTGGCAACTTGGGACTGTGTGGCTGGAGCACTTTTTGGTTGGTTTTAATTCTTCAGCCTTTTTGAGAACAAGGCTGTTCTTCTGAAGCTTTACAGGTTTTCTTTAACCCATTGCTAAAGTTTAGTGCCCTAGATAACTATATACTCTTTGAGAGTGACACCTGGACAGATCAGTAATCCGATATTAAGCCAACAAGGCTGCACTTTGAACAAAGTCCATCTTCTATCACCTGTTTTCCCATCTCTGCTTTCCTGACGGTCTCCCCTTCTGCACTTACCCTACACCTCAAACTGTAGATTTATCAAGCATCATAACAGATTAAGAGTAAGCATACTGGGCAGAAGACCTGGATCAGCCATGAACCACATGTCTCAATCACACCACAACTTTTTGTTCCTACCCACACAGTACTGGGAATTTCCACTCTTCTAAGCTGCAGTAAAACCCAGCAGAACTGTTTATATGGCTGTGCAAGCCTCTCCCCTGGCTCAGAGGGACCACCATTTGTGATTTGTAGGGTGCTGCTTTTTGGAGTTACAGACAAAAGTAGGGCTGCAACAGGACAGAGTCCCACCTCATCTGTTAGGCTGTGTTGCAGGTGCAACTGTCTCCTGCACACACTGATATTAGAGAACTTGGCATCTTTTGCTACTGGTAATTCTGATTCCACCAAGGAAAAAATCAGTTTCTGAATGCAAAATCCTTTTAAAATATTTGAAATAATTGAATCATATTAACTTCTGAGCTTACAGGAAGAGCAACAAGGGCTTGTGCTGCAGCATTTGAAAAGGTTCTATTAGGAAATTGTTCTGATTATTTTAATGCACCAAAAAGAAAGGTGGGGGGAATGATAATTTTCTTCTTTACCTGAGATGCTCCATTTAGGCAAGGCACTGAAACAGGGATGTTACACAACAGCTCCAAGCATTGTTCAGATGCTGTGCACAACTCCTGCCCGTCGGGAACCACTGCATGCCTTCCAAGTTGCCCATAGTCCGCTCTGCCCCAGGTGAATACCTTGCCAGTTTCTAAACAGAAAACACATTGCAAGATTACTTATTCACTAAGTTTCTGGAACATGTGGATACCAATTCAAAACTAGAACTTCTTAATGCATTTTACCTACAGCTTCAAAAGCCTACTGAAAACTTATTTCTGGGAGCAGAAGAAAAAAAACATTAATTACTAGCTCAAGATATTATGATATACTTCTATTAACTTGTTTTCTATCAGAATAACATCTGTATGGTGGCCTGGGCTATAAATAAAACCATGTCAGTAAAGCTGCATAACCTGGATATTGTGAATACAGTATATACACTTTGGTTATACAGAGGACATATTTTAGGTTAACAGAAGCACACACAAAACAGTTTATTCTGATACATAAAAGACATTTCTTTTCTATTCCCAGTCCTTGCCATAGGGACATCCATTGCATGACCTGTATTTAATACAGTTGATGTCTTCCTGATAGAACTTACCTTCTGTCACTACTATTGTTAGCAGAGTAACAGCCCTCAGGACAGCAGCTGGTTAGTTAGAACATCACCACAACTGTCATTAAACACTGGAAAAGCACTGGTTTGTTTTCACAGGAATCACATGCTGACCAAGGAAACATAACTTCAAATGAAATCAGCAGTATATGGCTCACCTTTCTCTCCACATATTATACCACTGCTGCAGAACTGACACCAAAATGCCATTCTCCAGTATGGATAACATCCTTAAAGCAACGCTTTTAGCTTTGGTTCCCAGAATTGAGAAAAAAAAAATCATACTAAGTGACAGCTTTATTTTCTTAATGAAGTAACTAGATCTCTGCAGGTAAGTCATAAAAAGCTGTCCCTCCTGGGCTTCCAATTAAAAAAGTTATATACACACAGCATAAGTTAAAGTTCTCAACTTGGTTTTAATGAGAAGCAGCAACCCACATTCCAGCCCAGACAGAAACCTGCGATGACCCTGAGTTATGTACACACTTCAGCAAAGCCTCAAACTGCTCTCCAGAGTTGAACTCCAGTCATCAAGTTTATCAGTCAAATTACATGGATTTGGGGAAAATACCATCCAGTCAAGCAAGTCTGCTTAAACACAGGCTCTTCTCCCTGTCAGTCAGTACATACATTCCCCACAGAGGGGATGGGCACAGGGGGTACTGGTCACCAAAGATGACAACTGAAGGGTTTCTAAACAGATGCCAGAACACAAATCTTCACAAATCTGAACAACTCCCTTTTCCTTTGGATGCTGTTAAACTCACTTGACAGGGACATAGATTGGCACTCCTGGTTTGGGGAGTTTAAGGTGATAATGTATTTTGTAAATAAACTGGAAACCTCAGTTTATATACACAACAAGTATACGCATTTTCCTTACAAATCTGCTAGCAGTGGTATTTCTTCACCAATCATCACAAGTTTTTCAGATGCATTCTCTGTGTTTCTCCTGAAATAATTAAGTGATAAAATTAGTTGTCCTTTTCTCTCAAGGGCAGAAGAAATTTCTTCCTTCACAGCTTCCTAGCAGTTCAGGGAAAAGCTGAAACCAGTCACATACTACTTTCAGTACAAGTGAGGTCTCTTAACACAGTAGCTACATTTTGTTAGGTTAAAGGATTAAAATAAGTTTCATTAAGAGAACTACTAATATACCTTACAGAGATAAGGAATACAGTTTGAGGTTTAAAAAACATGCTTGCTCCAAAGTTAGCATATTTACTTCGTAATTTATATAGATCCCTCCTAAAAACATCTGCAGTTGCAAAAACTGCAAAACTCCTACATCAGCATGTACACAGTAAATTTAAATGTAGACTAACCTTCAGGCTTTTACATCAGACCAGGTTGCTGCACCTATTTAGAACCCTCTTAGTGGACTGGGAAATGTTAGGCAGGCTGCTCTATTTTGCATCAACTACAGGAACTGAAACTGAGTTTTATGAAATCTAAAGCCAGAAAGAATTTCTGTAACATATAGTTAGATGACCAATATACCACAGGCTCTCAAGCCCTACCCAGACATGGCTGTATTGACCCCTAGGACCACAGTTGAATTAAAGCATTTCAGCTCTCAGAAGCCAAAAGTATCAAGTGCCATAGGCAAAAACATCACCTGCAAGGCCTCTGAAAAGGTCAGTAGTGTATTGATAATACAGACCCACATCCTCACAGACAGCCCATAACACTATCCTGTACACAGAGACAGTAAAAGTTTCTCTCAACTCTACTTTTTGGGGAAAAAAAATTCTTTCCCCAACCAAATCTAGTTCTCTGTCTGGACCCAAGAAGAACAACAAGAAACACCAGCCACTCGTATAAGGAAAATCATCCTTTGCATCATCACATCAGGGTACTGCTCCAGTGGAACTGAAGACTGTAGCATGTATGAAGGATTAAAACAGAAATAATGCTTAGCTATAATAAAACACCTTCCATCCACAGATTTTATTTTCTTTCACTGGACAAGCAAGCAAAGAATTACTTACACATGCAAAATCAAACAGAATTTTTAGGAGAATCTAAACAGCTTCTGATTACCAACAGAAATCATTGCAATTATCTTTTTCCTTTTTGCCACTATAAGGGAAAAAAGTTTCACGTGGTTGTTAGAAGGAAAAAATGGAGAACATCTATTAAAAAAAAATTAAAGCCAGATAAATTAATTTTTGCTTTTAGGACAAATTTCTTGAATGCCTAAAGATTAGGTAACAACCAGTTCCTTCTCAGTGCTCATCAATTCAGTTCTCACTTCTTATTGAGAGATATTCCTTCCCCAGATTTATTCCTGTTTAGTGAGCATTCCCCCTCCCATGCACAGTCTCCTGCTAATAGACAATTGTTTCCATTTTTCAGCCAAAAACATCTGCCTTGGGATCCTTTACAAAAAAAATAGAAGGAAGTACATAAATCTGTGTTTTCTGTGCAAGTAACAGAAGCCGATTTAGATGTGCCTTCTCTATGAAATACTGATTATACTTTCAGCAAACAAACAGAACAAAATAAAAAAACCAGTCTCAAGTGGAAATTTCAGGCTGAGGCAAACACCAATGCATGGAAAATTCCGCCAAAGGTTAAAGTCTTGTCAAAATCCTAAGCAAAAGAAAGCACTGAGCTATGACAGAAAGTGTTAAGCAATTGTAATGAGAGGTATTGCTACTGTGCTACTTATAATATAGATGGTATTTTAAAATGTTCTAAGAATATTTAAGAAAAAGACATTAGTCATACAGAGTATGGAGGCTGCAGGATGAATTACTTAAGAATGAAGGGTGATATAACAAGGACTGATGGTCTAATATTAGACTAGAACAGATTTTAATTAGAAGTCAAGAAAACATACACAATGATGAGTCAACTGGACAGAGTACATCAGCCATGGAAGTGGCTGAGGCATCAGAAAAAAAGGAAAAAAAAAAATCAAAAAAAGATATTTCATACCAGACTCTATACAATAAGAGGGCATACAAAAGGCAAGAGTTATTTCTACAACTTTTGTGAAAGAAAAAAGCATAGCACACAACGTTAGAAAGCTTTTCTGGTTCTTCTAAGATACTAACAAAGCTTCCTAAGACGTAGTTCTTGTCATGTTCTGAGCATGGAGGCTCCAATTCCAAAAGGCACTTCAACTCCTCTACTGTGAACATCCACATTGTCCCAGATGACTTTATTGCAACTGCTCATTTTTTCAGGAGCAAATGCTACATCAACTAAAGGCTAGAGCATTCCAAACACTATTTGGAATTAGGGAGTAATAGACATAATTCATGCATCCTGTGTCATTCCAGTGTACAGTCTGAACGAACCATACAGTACAGCAGTTCAGAAAGCTAAAAAAAGGACAGGGGGAGAAGATTTTTAAGAAAAACTTCCCGACAGTTCCCTAAGTAAACAGTACCTACAACAGTATTTTACATTGTTTGAGATTCTACGTGATCATACAGATCTAGTTTCCTTGTGCTCTTTGAACTGTAAACACAGCATTTTGCATCAGTGTACACACAGCACCAAATCATCCAAAACACACACTCGTGTCCCTCACAGAATACAAATGAAGGTACATACATATTCAAGTGCTCGAAGCACTACACTAGCAAACCACTACCAGAAGGGCCCTTCTCCATTTGCTTCACATCATCCTTCTGTCCAAAGCATAGACAGTTGAGAATGGCCTGAAAATTACAAGTTCGCAGCCTTCGGAGTATTGCAAATCCAGCAACATTGCATAAAGCACTTCTGGTTGCTTCCTGCCTGACCCTATAGCTTTTCCTGTGCTGTTTCACACTGCTGCTGAGGCTGTAGAGCATGTCATTTTTCCCTGTTAGCACTTTCTTAATCAATCTGCTGAGCTACATAAGTATTTGGAGAGAATTAGCAATAAGAAAATAAGTATCTTAGTTTTAAAAATAGGTTGGTTTCTCAGTAGAACACAACAGACAAACAGGCACATTAAAATTTACTTATTTTCACTAGATTAAGATTTATCTGTGTATCAATTTTCCTGTTTTAAGATAATATCACGATTGCATTAGTGTTATCTCCTTGAAGTCTCTATTTGGTATCCAGGCAAGCTTTGAACTATCTTTCATAAATACTAGATGAAAGAGTTCATGTAGGCTATCTCAATTCACAGTTGCTTTAACGATTACTTTTCAAATGAACTCTGGATATTCACACTGAATATTTAATTTCAGACTTGAAATATGAAGTTCTATATAAAATCCCTAATGCCTCCTTTCACATGAAAATTCACAGGGGCAGGCATTAAAAATTGACATTTAGAGGCTGCCTCTTGCCTCCTCCCTGCCCCACACAGAGCAACACTTCTCCCACATCTACAGATCTCTGCTGTCCTTCAGGAAAATCACTAATGTCCTTCAATCTTTCTGAGAAACTTCCCCATCTACCTAGAAACAGCCTTTGTGCAGTGCAACCTTACAGAAAAACATTAATCTATCCATCCTTAATTCCTTCTTGGCTGAAGACAGTTTTAATTCAGCAGTTGGAAACCAGGCATCACTACCATC